CACCGACACCCACACCCACACCCACACCGCCACCCACACCCACACCCACACCCACACCCACACCCACACCCACACCCACACCCACACCCACACCCACACCCACACCCACACCCACACCCACACCCACACCCACACCCACACCCCTACTTATAACTGCTCTTGGCGTACAACCATTCAAAACTTTAATTTCTATTTGTAAACTAAAGAAACCAACTGAATGCAGTTGTAAAGAATTAATTGAAAAACTTAGATCAAATTATGCACGTGTAACATTTCCATCAACTGAACGTATCAAATTTTTTTGCAAAACGTCAAGAATCTTCACAAACTCTTACAGATTTTGCAAATGATTTACGTGATAAATCAACAACATGTAAATTTCCTTCAAATTTCTATGAAGAGGCGTTAATAACTGCATTTGTTGGTGGTTTACATAATGATCATGTACGTAAGCATTTGATGCAACGAAATCTACAAACTTTTGAAGAAACGATCAACACAGCTAAAACAATTGAATCAATTTTAATTGAAGGTTCAAAAATTAAAAACATCCCATCAGATGAACTTAATCTTAATAAAATTACTCAACATCGTAAACAACATACGAATCGTTATCAAAAATCAATTTGTTTTAGCTGTGGATCTACTGATCATCCACGATCAAAATGTCGTTTTCGTAATGCTACCTGCCACAAATGTAATAAGGAGGGACATATTACTAAAGTTTGTCGTTCAAAAGCAGCTTCAAATCAATTCAAGGTAAATACAATATTTTCAGTATCCCAAAATTCATTTACAGGTGAACATGCTATTCGAATTCCTATCAAAGTTGATGATGTTCAAGTTAATTTTGAACTTGATACTGGTTCTCCTATAACAATTATAAATAAAAATGTTTGGGCAATAATGGGAAAACCAAAACTAAATCCAGTTAAATTAACTTATAATAGTTTTTCAGGTCATTCTATTCCTATTAAAGGTGAAAAGATAGTAAAGGTGAATTACAATAATCGATCTACTGAATTAAAAGTTATTGTTGCAGATAAAAATAGAAATAATATTCTCGGTCGCAATTGGATTAATGCTTTACATTTCAATAATCAAACATTAGATGATATTATTTCTAATTCATCAATACAAAATGCTAATGTTGAATTTAAAAATCTAAATGAATTATTTATTCTTTATGATGATATTTTCAAAAATGGTTTAGGTTGTTGTAAAGTAAAAGCCCATCTTCATGTAAAACCAAATGTTATTCCAAAATTTTGCAAAGCTAGATCTTTACCATTTGCTTATCGTGAAGCTGTTGAAAATGATCTAAATCGACTTGTTACTGAAGGTGTTCTAGAATTGATTACCGTTTCAAAATGGGCTGCACCCATCGTGGTGGTACCAAAGGCAGGTGGTAAAGTTCGAATTTGTGCTGATTTTAGTACTGATGTTAACCAAGCATTAGATATTGATCAATATCCACTACCAAAACCAAATGATTTATTTGTTGCACTTAATGGTGGAACACTATTTAGTAAAATTGATTTTTCTGAAGCTTATTTACAAGTTGAATTAGATAATGATAGTAAAGAACTTTTAGTCATCAATACACATAAAGTTTTATTCCGATTTAATCGATTACCATTTGATTTGCTTCTGCCCTTAGTATCTTCCAGAAAATTATGGATCAAATGTTATCAGGTCTGGAAGGTACAGTGTGTTACTTAGATGATATTATTGTTACTGGCAAAAATAAAATTGATCATTTAAATAATTTGAATAAAGTATTTAATAAAATAAAAGATTATGGATTTCATATCAATAAAGGTAAATGCATATTTCTAAGTAATTATGTAGAATATTTAGGTTTTATTGTGGACAAAAATGGTGTTCATACATCTCCATCAAAAACAAAAGCAATTGTCGAAATGCCTAAACCAACTAATATTTCTCAACTACGTTCATTTTTGGGAATGGTTAATCATTATGCTAAATTTATTCCAAAATTATCAGATCAATTATCACCTTTTTATTCATTATTAAAAATAAATACTCCATGGAAATGGAATTCATTTTGTGACAAAAATTTTAAAAAGATTAAACAATGTCTTACTTCTCCACTTGCATTACCACATTATGATCCTTCTCTACCATTAGTTCTAGCAGCAGATGCGTCTAATTCAGGTGTTGGTGCAGTTATTTATCATCGTTATCCTGATGGTACAGAAAAAGCTATTGCTCATGCATCTAAAACTTTAACACCTACTGAACGTAATTATGCTCAAATCGAAAAAGAAGCACTAGCTATTATTTATGGTGTACAAAAATTTGATCAGTTTCTACGTGGTAGAAGATTTACACTTCTTACAGATCATAAACCATTAATTAAAATTTTTGGTCCAAAGAAAGGCATTCCAACAACATCAGCTAATCGTCTTCAACGTTGGGCTCTTCGTTTACTGGGATATGTTTATGATATTGAATATCGTTCAACACTTAATTTTGGTCATGCTGATGGACTTTCCCGTTTACCTATTGGTCCAGATAAAGATTTTGATAATCAAGATCCAGGTGAAACAAATGTAATTGCTTCAATTCAGCAAGATTTACAACAAGATTTACCACTTAGTGCTGTACAAATTGCTAAAGCAATTCAAAAAGATCCAATTCTTGTACAAATTCATAAATTTATATTATCAGGTTGGCCATCATCTATTTCTAATAATTTTCAACCTTATTATAGAATTCGAAATGAACTTTCAACATCATCTGGATGTAATATCTGGCGTCTCCGTACAATCGTTCCTATTTGTTATAGAAAACATCTTTTAAATTATCTTCATTTATCTCATCCAGGAATGATACGTATGAAAGTTTATGCTCGACGTTATTTATTGTGGCCATCCATCGACAAACAAAGTCTAATGACAATCATAGTTATTGTCAATATATCACAGATGTTTATCTTTTTGAAAAAAAATATGGAATCGAAGAAGACCAGAAAAAAATGAAGAAAGAAAATAGACAAGATGAGTGAGCAAAAGAAGGAGAAGATAGACATCGAAGAAAACTGAATCTGTTATCGCCTTCACATATGATCGGTTTCTATCATTTAGAAAAATCATTAAAGCATATCTGTAGAGATTTATCTATGCACCTTTCGTAAAGCTTTTAATGATAGATCTTTTCACAATAAAATTCAAGATTTTACTATTTTCTGATGAGATACATGTAAAACAAAAAATGTCTTCGAAACATTTTATTACGCTAAATACTGTGAAAAGTAGCACTTTTATGTATACTTTTCATTTTGACCATGAAGAAAACTATAAGAACATGTCTAAAGAAGTTTGCTAGTACAGGTTTTGTAGAATCCGTCAAGACGTATCTTTTGAAAAGAAAATCAACTTTATATCGTTTGTCAGTGCAGAAATATTCACAAAAGTAAATGATGTTGCAATTATTCTGGGACACCCGGTAATTTCAAGGAAAATGGATCATGTTTAGGCTCTCTTTCTTTATATTGTTACTAATTTATGCAATCAGAACAAACACCCAACTTTGTAAAACCACATAGAAACCCTGCTAACAACCAGCCACATCTTGAAGAGTTATGCACACAAACACCAACAACCACCCACTTTATACGAGTTCTAGCAAAAATAAACCATCAACAAAAGCCAAAAAATGACCCCTTTCAACAAAACCACCCAAAATTTCGCTTTTGGCCCACACAAACACCCACAGAACTCCATAATCTACATTTTGACACGAATAGGCGCTATCCCCGAATAACTTTTCCTAACAAAATTTTCTCTATAAATGTCTCTTAATATAAAGAAAATTATTTAAAATAAGTAAAAATACATCAAAAAACAAGACAAAAGTATACAGCACTTGATAGTTTTGAGTTAGATTGTTTTAAGGATTTTCTTTATATAAAGAGACGTTTCTAGAGAAAAGGTATTTGGTCATAGCACTTATCTGTGTCAAAATGTAGACTATGGAATCCTAGGGGTGTTTGTCAAGATAAGTTGCAGTGCTTGTGCGGACCATAAGTGAAATTTTGGGTGGTTTTGTTGAAAGGAGTCATTTTTTGATCGGTCTTATATGTTTTCAGAGGACAATTTGTTAAGAAAAGTATATTAGGAATAGTACTTATTCGAGTCAGAATGTAGATCATAGAGTTCTGTGGGTGGTTGTCAAGACAACTTAGAGTGCTTGTGTGGATTATAAGAGAAATTCTAGTTGGTTGTGTTAAAATGGATCTTTTTTTGGTCTTTCTCGACAGCTTATTTTTGCTAGAACTCTTACAAAGTGCGTAGTTGTCGGTGTTTGTGTGCATAACTCTCCAAGATGTGACTGGTGGTCAGCAAGACTTCTATGCATTTTTAGACAGTTGAGTGGTTGTGCTGGTTGCATACATTGGCAATACTCCTTTCTTTAGTATTAGACAATGCAAATAAAATTAATCGACGTGCATGCACATGACCGTATGTTCTTATAATTGTCTTACTAAAAATAATGATAGACGTGTATTACCATCAAAAGTTCGTTCGCTTTCTGTTATGTTAAGAGATCTGTGCTTTTTTTCATAAAATTTCGGTATTCTTTATCTTCAGTGAATTTATCTATTTTGAAAATTCGCTCTTGGAATTTTTCGTTCATCAATTAAAATAAAATATACTGGAATCTAGAGTACAGAAGTTGTCGACATCCCTAATTATGGTGCACATGGGAAGCCAAAAAATAATGAAATTAGTCGAATTCTTCAGCTCTTTTGTAGATTCGTGGATTTCCTCATGATGATTTCTCATTTTAGCATTTTTTCATTCAGTTTACTGTCATTATGCAAGTGCCTATGCAATTTGAATAGGAAAAAAAATACGAAGTGTATTTAATATGATTTCAATTGTTGAATTTTTTTTTATCTATCAGCATTCCTTCTCATGCAGAAGATCTATTTCTTCAAACTTTTCATTTAAATATGGAAGCACTATCAACAGCTTTCCAGATGTTCCCATACTTTGTTTTATCTTGAGAGAAAAGTTATTAAATTACTTGAAGTTTTCTGAAGTTTCTCTTCTTTTATTTTAAAATAAATACTCAAAAAAATAGTCTGCTTTACGCTTTATTATTGAAAATAGCTACATCTACAAAATTCTTAATGATTTATGAAAAGAATATTCAGAGTTACGAATTTGAAAATTCATAGCCTAAACCAGAAAATTAATATTAAATACCCGATTTATTTCCGATTGAAACTCGAATATAAGTAAAAACTCCTAAAAGAAAAATAATTTAAGTACTGTATTTACAAGAAAAAGACAAAAACTGTAATTTTTAGTGAGATAAGGTAATCCTGAAACTCCAGTACAAACGTAGAAGATATTATTTCACTTGCAACGTATAAGGAAGATACAATTTTAACCTTATTTTTTTTCTTCGTTCACTGATACTATCAAAAATTCTCATTTTGAGTTGTTTTTGAAGTAGCATACACCTTTCTGAGGTTTATTCATACTCCTATTTGAATTAAATAACTCTTGTAAGGTAGTAGCAACACTTCTAATAAAATTTAAATAAAAATAACCGTATTGATTTTACTCATTTCGAAATGAAATAATTAGCGGTGAAAGCTTTTGTTACATAATGATTTCATTGAAGTATAGAACAATCTGGTGAAAACACTACAATCGGTATTCAAAGAGAAATATACATGAGTCTCATCTTTTCAGGAAACGGTTGATGTCTCCTGTTGTCATAACATTGAAATAAAGAGTCTGTTGCATAAGAAAAATCCATCTATAAAGTGAATAGTCTCCATGACAGTCTCGATTTACCGAACAAATAAAGTAGTTTAGTGATAAATGACTAAAAGAACACATTTATTTCTATTTAAACCATCATTAAAATATTTTTTTTTGATTTTCTGCACATTTTGTAGAAGAATGCTACCTAAATACCGATTAATAATTCAATTAAAGTGTTATGTTCTTATGACAGAACTGAAGAATATCAGCATCTTAATCATAATTTATAACGAATATTATCTTAAGTCATATGTAACTATTGAATAATTTTTATTTATATTCGAATTCGAGATAAGCAACTCACGCATAATTGTGAAGGTCATCTTAACAAATAGTGTTCAATATGTTAGAACTAATTGTTATCAACAATCTAATACTAATCTGCAGGTTAATTTGGGGAACTATTTTGAAATAATAAAAGAATCTTTCTGCGAAATCAAATCAGTTTTCTACTTTCCTACTCTGTAGATTTTATAACATAATCATGAGTACTTTTACACGTTTATATCGTATCTTTGAACGAAGATGAAAAACATCGATTCGAAAAGTTTCACTTTTAACTGTAAAAAATTGTCAACATGTTCAGAAAAATATAGAGTTTTGAATCTGCTCACTTGTTGATTTAGTTTATTTCTAAATAAAAGTAGTTCTGAGCGGATAACACACAAAAAAAAAAAGTTTTCAGACACATATTCATGTCTTAAGCTCATAATATACTCTTTAAGAATTCAATATAGACTATATGGTAGAACGAAATTAGTTATACATCGAGATTAAGTGAACATGCAAAAATAGCGATATTGTAAATTTAATAGTTCATGGCTCATTAAGTATCATTGTTTAAATTTACATTTGAATAGTGACTATATTAAAGAACAGAACAAACAGAATTGTATTGCACATAATCGTATAGGCTTCTTCTGAAACATTTTTGCATTCGATCTTAGTTTTTCATACAAAATAAGGCTAAGCTTATCTAACATTTCGTATCTTAAAATTAATTCAATTTTAGATTTTGATGAATTCTATTAATCCTATCTGATTATAAAATAATTCTTACCTGATGATATCTCGGTTTTATTTGAACATATTTCATTATTGGAATAGAAATAGTTGAACATGGACATTGAAGTGTGTCAGGATACTTAAGAAGTAGAGATTCAAACATTGAATATGAAGAGAGTTTTACAGTAATCATCGTTGTCTGAGCGTCCAAACTAGTGAAAATAAGCAGAATGAATACACTTATAATGACTAGAACCATATAAATTCAGGATGAACATTGCTCGATTTGAATGGATTCTTCATCATAAGATCCATCGTTGAAAAGATTGAAATTGCAGAAAAAATATTTAATTCGAGTTTTTAACGTCATCATTATTGTTAGTTTATAACTACAATGACAATTAAAGTGGAAAATTATTGCAGCATGATGGAATACGAGTCTCAATAAACAAGTTATAATTCTTTTTATATTTTCTTATTTTAGAAAAATATTATTTCTAACTAGAAAATAAGTTAGTGATGCACAAAGCAATTTTAATTATAAACGTTATATAATTTATGATATTCTATTTTAAATTCACTGAGAACAACATAAAGTCATGCTAATAGTATTGTACTGCTCTATGCTGTAATTCTTAAATTATATCTTTTTAAAATAAGTTAAACAAATTATCATTATATGAAATTTGACTATTTTTTTTATTCATCTTACAGAGTATGTTTCATTGAAAAATCAGTTTTGCTTTATACGAATTCGCATGCAATCAGATAAATCATCTTCTCATTCAAACAAACACTAAGATTTAAAAGTGAAATTAGTGAGCTATGCCTTTTTTTACTGAAATACTTCGAATCTATTCTTTTGCTGAAGATACATTCTATGATAGATCAATGTTAAATGGAATATTAAAATTTTTTTATTAATATATTTATTTATATGGTGCGGTGTTGCTCAATATGTAAATGTCACTTAAGAAAATGAAACAGAAAAAAAAAGATGAATAACTAACAAAATTTTGGACAAATGGCAGGCATCCAGATACGTCTCGTTAACTGAAGTTTTTCTGGAAAAACTACGAACTTTTATTGTTTTTATTCAATAGGATCAGGATTATTAGACGAATTTATATCATGTTCTATTTCTACTCTGAGAAAATTAGTTTTTTTTTTTTTTTTTTTTTTTTTTTATTGGGCAGAATAACTGTGACCAATATGTCCTTACAGTACGAGATTATATATAGAAAAGATGAGAGAGAAGGAAAAAACCAAAAAANTCAAACAAACATTATATTTGACCTAGAGATATATTTTCTATTACGTAATAATATTGTCTATTACGTAATATATATATTCTCTGTTTTTCACAATAAAAGGAGAGATTCGTTTATTCTATTTTACGTATGACCACGATACGTGACAATTGGCGACGAGAGTGAGATTTAAAAAAAAAAAAATTTTTTTTTTAATTAGTTGTTTTAAAAATTTCTTTTAAATACTACTATGCCTCTCAAAAGTACTACTGATGAACAAACTTTACGTTCAAATACATATCGTTTACATGAATTCGATCCTACAACATATGATTGGGATGATTGGGAGATCCTTTTCGATACGTACATTAACGTTGAAGATGTTACGGATGATACAAAAAAAAGAAATTTGCTTATTACAGCTCTTGCTGTACAACCATTTAAAACACTTATTTCTCTTTGTAAACCAAAGAAACCTACTGAATGTACGTACCAGGATTTAATTCAAAAACTACGCATCAATTACGCACGTGTTACATTTCCATCGACTGAAAGAGTTAAATTCTTCGCAACACGCCAAGAATCATCTCAAACTCTTACTGATTTTGCAAATTCTTTACGTGATAAAATGGAAACCTGCAAATTTCCAAGTGATTTTTATGAACAAGCATTAATTACAGCTTTTGTTGGTGGTTTAAATAATGAACATGTTCGAAAACACTTGATGCAGAAAAATTTAGAAACATTTGAACAAACACTTAATACAGCACGTACATTTGAATCAGTTCTTATTCAAGGAGCTAATGCTAAACATGATTCATCACATGAATTTTCTGTTATGAAAATTCAGAAACAGCACAAACCAGCTCCAAAGGTTAATCCAAAATCAACTTGTTTTAGTTGTGGTTCAAAAGATCATCCTCGATCCAAGTGTCGTTTTCGCAACGTCACTTGCCATAAATGCAATAAAGAAGGTCATATTGCTAAAGTTTGTCGTTCAAAAGTAACTTCAAACCAGTTCAAGGTAAACACTGTATCTTCAGTATCAAATAAATCATTTACAGATGAACATCCAATACAAGTTCCTATTGAAATAAATGGTGTACAAGTTAATTTTGAACTTGATACTGGTTCTCCTATTACAATTATAAATCCACATATTTGGGAATTAATAGGAAAACCAAAATTATATCCAGTTAAATTAATTTATAAAAATTTTTCTGGTCATCCAATTCATTTTAAAGGTGAAAATATTGTCCAGGTGAAGTACAAAAATCAATGTACCGAATTACGACTTATTGTTGGTATTGATAATTCAAATAATATACTTGGTCGTAATTGGATTAATGTTTTTCACCTTAGTAATCAATCATTAGATGATATTGGTAATAACTCATCAATTCAAAATGTTAATTTTGAATTTAAAAATTTAAATGAATTAATTACTCATTATGATGCTATATTTAAACAAGGTTTAGGTTGTTGTAAAATCAAAGCTCATCTTCATATTAAACCTAATGTTCTTCCAAAATTTTGTAAACCTAGATCTTTACCGTTTGCTTATCGTGAAGCTGTTGAAAATGATCTAAATCGACTTGTTAATGAAGGTGTTTTAGAACCAATTACAATCTCAAAATGGGCTGCACCTATTGTGGTAGTACCTAAACAAGGTGGTAAAATTCGAATTTGTGCTGATCTTAGTACTGGTGTTAATCAAGCATTAGATATTGATCAATATCCTCTTCCAAAACCAAATGATTTATTTGTAGCACTTAACGGTGGAACATTATTTAGTAAAATCGATTTTTCTGAAGCTTATTTACAAGTTGAATTAGATGATGATAGTAAAGAACTATTAGTCATCAATACACATAAAGGTTTATTTCGATTTAATCGATTACCGTTTGGTGTTGCTTCGGCACCGAGTATCTTCCAGAAAATAATGGATCAAATGTTATCCGGATTGGAAGGTGCTGTTTGCTATTTAGATGATATTATTGTTATGGGAAAAAACAAAATAGATCATTTAAATAATTTAAAAAATGTTTTTACTAGAATAAAAGATTATGGATTTCATATTAATAAAAGTAAATGTATTTTTCTACACGATCATGTTGAATATTTAGGTTTTGTTGTTGACAAAAATGGTGTTCATTCATCTCCATCAAAAACAACAGCTATTATCAACATGCCAAAGCCTACTAATGTTTCTCAATTACGTTCATTTTTGGGTATGGTCAATCATTATGCTAAATTTATTCCAAAATTATCAGATCGATTATTACCCTTATATTCATTATTAAAGAAAAATATTCCATGGAAATGGGATCGATTTTGTGATAAAACCTTTACAAATATTAAACAAAGTCTTACTTCTCCACTAATATTAACACATTATGATCCTGATCTTCCATTAGTTTTAGCAGCAGATGCATCCAATTCAGGTGTTGGTGCACTTATTTATCATCGTTATCCTGATGGAACAGAAAAAGTTATTGCTCATGCATCAAAAACTTTAACATCAACTGAACGTAATTATGCACAAATCGAAAAAGAAGCTTTAGCTATAGTTTATGGGGTACACAAGTTTGATCAATTTTTACGTGGTCGAAGATTTACACTTCTTACTGATCATAAACCATTAACTACTATTTTTGGTTCAAAGAAAGGTATTCCAACAACATCAGCTAATCGTCTTCAACGTTGGGCACTTCGTTTAATGGGATATATTTATGATATTGAATATCGTTCAACATCCAAGTTTGGTCATGCTGATGGATTATCTCGTTTACCTATTGGTTCAGATAAAGATTTTGATATTCAAGATCCAGGTGAAATAGGTTTAGTTGCTTTAATTCAACAAGAATTACAAAATGATTTACCACTTCGTGCTATACAAATTTCTAAAGCAACTCAAAAAGATCCAATTCTTATGCAAGTTTATAATTATACATTATCCGGTTGGCCATTATCTATTAATGATAATTTACAACCTTATTATCGAATTCGTAATGAACTTTCAACATCACATGGATGTATTATATGGGGTCTTCGTACAATTATTCCAAGTTGTTTTAGAAATTATCTTTTAAATTATCTTCATTTATCTCATCCTGGAATGACTAGGATGAAAATTGATGCTCGACGTTATTTTTGGTGGCCATCACTTGATAAACAAATTGAAGATCGTGTTCGTAAATGTTCTAATTGTACGGAAAATTCTAAACAACCAATTAAAGTTCCATTATCACCATGGCCTGTACCTGATCAACCATGGAAACGAATTCATTTAGATTTTATGGGAAAATTTATGGGTTTATATTTTCTTATTATTGTTGATGCATACTCCAAGTGGTTAGAAGTTGTTACTATGCATAATCCATCAACCAAATCAACGGTTGATGCATTATCATCTTTATTTGCTCGTTATGGTTTATGTGAAACCATTGTATCGGATAATGGTACTCAATTTACTTCAACAGAATTTACTGAATTTTGTGCTCGTAATGGTATTCAACATATTACAACTTCACCAGGACATCCTCAATCTAATGGACAAGCAGAACGTTATGTAGACATTGTTAAATCTGCTTTAAAAAAAGGATTGTTTTATGGAGGAAAAATATCTGATGTTCTTTTAAAATTTTTATTTTGTTACAGGACGACACCTCATGCAACAACAAATTCAAGTCCAGCTGAATTATTTTTTAAACGACAATTAAGAACAGTATTAGATTTATTACGACCTAATACAATCGATTCATCATATACATCTCAATGTCGTTATAAAAAAAATTTTGATCAACATACAAAGGAACGTTATTTTCAAAAAAATAATAAAGTTCTTGTTCGTGATTTTCGAAATAATTCAAACAAAATTAAATGGACACCCGGTGTACTTATTGATCGTCAAGGATCTCGAATTTGGATTGTTAAAGTTGAAAATTATACTTGGCGTCGTCATGAGAATCAAATAAAACATCGTGAATGGTCAACAGATGAAGATGTTATTACTGTCGACCCAACAATAACACCAACAACTGATCATAATAAATCCTCCTCGTCTTCTTCTTCTACATCTCATAATGGTTTACAAGTACTTCGACGTTCTTCACGTTTAAAGAAACCTGTAAAACGTTTAATCCAAGAGATTTAGAGGGGAGGAATGTAATATAGTGACATTACTATAGTTATTTTCTTGTTTCTTTTCTTTTCGTTCTATATTGGCAACAAGCCAAGAGAATACATACATATATGTATTGTTATTTTTCTCTGTTCTTTGATCTATCTTGATCTCAGCTTATATACTCGTTACTGTTGATCAAGGTCAAACAAACATTATATTTGACCTAGAGATATATTTTCTATTACGTAATAATATTGTCTATTACGTAATATATATATTCTCTGTTTTTCACAATAAAAGGAGAGATTCGTTTATTCTATTTTACGTATGACCACGATACGTGACAATTGGCGACGAGAGTGAGATTTAAAAAAAAAATTTTTTTTAATTAGTTGTTTTAAAAATTTCTTTTAAATACTACTATGCCTCTCAAAAGTACTACTGAT